GCATTTTTCTACTTTTGATGTCTATTGCAATCTTATTTCTATTTCTCCACCATTGTCAGCTCTGTCTTCAATCTAGTTCCTACTCTCTTCAATCGCACTTTTGATCATCTGTCCTAATGTCTCCTTTGGTATCTTGTTGTCAAATTATATTTGAAAATGGCTTGATGTTGTACCTTGGGAAGTCAAACCATATTAAAGGCACTGTACAAATGAAAGGTGTTAGTTGTTGTAGTCAGTGCACATTTATGTACTTTTTGTGTATTTGTTGATAAAATAATATGATGAAAAGCAGGGTATGCTGTGTGTTTCTGGTTGCCTTAGGTGCTTTACTTTGCTGATCAAAGAATGTGATAGAGGTTTCTTAAATAAATGTATACACAGAAATAGTTTTACCTAACATTAAAAATGATTGCAGGAATAAGCCTTCTTTGAACCTTCTACATCATTTAATAACATCAAGGCTGATCTTTGAGTCCACTTCATTTCCCACATTATCTCTACATTCCTGTTTCCACTAATATCTAGACATTTATCAATTTCTACCTTGCATATATTCATTATCGTGTACTCAGTAACGCCGGGGAAGAAAGCTGCAATGATTCACAATGTTTTGAATGAAGAAACCGCTTATTCCTAGTCCTGAACAGCTAATTAACTTATTCAGAGTCTGAGACCTGTTGTCATAATCTTCACAGTGATGGGAAACATTATCCTACCATCTAATTTGTCAAGCACCTAAAGAATGCTTTTATATTTTCATGGGATCGCTACTAGTCTTTTAAATTCTAGTGAATGTAGGCCTATGCTCCTCAATCACTTGGGACAATTCCCTCATCCCAGAATTCAGCCTTATGAACATTAACCGCACTACCTCCAACAAATTACGTTTGTCTTTAGGTAAGGAGATCATAATATTGTAAAAGGCTCCAGACATAGCCCTACCAATGTCATCCATAATTGGAGTAAGAATTCTGAGTTTATTCTCCAATCACTTTGTAATAAAGGCTAACGCACTATTTCCTTTCCAAACATACTAGTGCACTGGGGAGGTGATGGCCTAGTGGCATTATTACCGGCCTGTTAATCCAGAGACCTAGGTAATGTTGTAGGGACAGAAAGGTGGAGACGTGGCTGTAGTAGTGATATTGCTTCAGAATGTGTTTGAAGAGCTTCAGGGCAAAGATTCTGAGGACCCCGGTTTGAATCCAACCATGGCAGATGGTGGATTCAAGTTTAATTAAAAAAAATTCTGGAAATTAAGAGTCCAATGATAACCATGAATCAATTGTCGGGAAAAACCCATTTTTAGGGAAGGAAAATACCATTCTTACCTGGTGTGGCCTATGTGTGGCTCCAAACCCACACGGCAATGTGGTTGACTCTTCAGAACAATACAACACAGGAACAGGCCCTTCAGCCCTCCAAACCTGTGCCGATACTGTCCTCTGGATAATTAGGGATAGGCAATAAATTCTGACCCAGCCATTGATGCCCTCATCCTGTTGTTATGGACCAGACCAAACTTCCTCAAAATATTTTAAGAAGATAGCCTTGACCCTAGGTAAGTGTAAGGCATTGTGCTCTAGATGCAATTTGATTGGTCAAACTACTTGACTTTAAGCAAAACACACTTTATTTTTCCACCACATTTAAAATACAGACAAAATAAAAATAAAAGAATTGGCTTAACAATAACTCCATTAAAATTCGTAATAAAATAATGTGTGTATTAACTACTCCTAATTAACTGTTCCTATATAGTAACATGCCATAAACACACACTTGGCAAAGGCAAAGTCAGTAAAATAGATTGTCTCACATGCAATACTCACAGCAGGATGAGAACCCCAGCTTTTAGGTGTAACAGAGAGAGGAGTAAGAGCGTCCACATCCAGCTTCAAGACTTCAGCAACTACTGAAAGCTAAAACCAAAAGTCATGGTTCTGTGGGAGCTCTTCCCCACTTATTCAGGGTGCTTCTATTGTTCTAACGTTAAAAAAAACACCCAAGGCCTCTGAAGAAGGGTCTCGACTCAAAACGATAACTTTCCTGCTCCTCTGATGCTGCCTGGAGCTGGAGGAGCTGCTTTTCCAGCTCCACACTATGTTATTCAAGGCCTCACAAGCTGTTTATTTTATGGACTATGAAGCAGACTGCTCACCATCTCTGTCTCAACCTTCATGAAAAAAGGACAAAATACACCTCTTGAAGCCATAGTATGACCACAATGAACAAATTAAGAAAAAAACTTACATGTGAACATTCTCTGATTCATGCGCAAGGACACCCAGGTAATTCTGAGGAATGGCATTGACTAGTCTCGCACCTTTACAAAATATTCTATTTTTACCTTCCAGTGTGGATAACTTCACATTCCTCCATATTATATTCCATCTGCTACATTTACAACAGTACTTTTATCCATACTCTTATGTGACCTCTTTTCTTTTTCATGAGCATGGCTGCTTGCTACAGTTGTATAGAGCATTGATAAGGCTACATCTGAAGGTTTAAGCACAGTTTTCATCTCCTTATTTAGAAAGGATGCAAATTGTGTAGAAATAGTTCTGAGAATGTTCACTCAACTGAGACCTGGTCAAAAATCACACGACACCAGGTTATAGTCCAACAGGTTTATTTGAAAACATAAGCTTTCGAAGCCTCGCTCATTCTTCAGGTGTTAGTGAGAAAGGTAGCATCAGCCACAGAATTTATAAGTAAAAAGATCAAAGGGCCACACCATTGATGAGGATGTATTAAACTGAAGATGCTGTTAAATCTTTAATCAGTTAGAAGGTTTTAATTGATTAATATGTATATGCAAATCCCTGAATTCCTTTCAAGTCACTGTCCTGAGAGAACTAAAGGTTTCATCAGTGTAAAGAAAAGGTGGCATTTTAGGTCAGACAATGCATGTTAGGTGTGAGGCCTTGTTTATAGTCTGTTTGTGTTTTGCTTTGGAGTCAGCGTGTTTTTGTTTCTAAAGTAGAAATTTATAAAACACCATTTTGACTGACTGGCCGTTACCTAACAAGGAAGGGTTGAACATGCTGGTTCGGTATCCATTGGAGTTTAACAGAACAAGAGTTGAGCTGATTGGAGCATATAACAGCCTGAGGGGACATAACAGAATGAAAACTGAAAGGATTTTTCCCCTTATAGGGACAGTAAGCTGAGCAATAGTTTAAGAATAAGGGGTCATCTATTTAACACAAATGAAGAGGATTTTTTTTCCTTTGAAGCTCGAGAGTCCTTGGAGCTCTCTCTCCCCAAGGGACCATAGAGTGGAATCATTTAATACATCAGAGATAGAAACTATTTTCTATTTCAAAGATATTATTACACACAGGAGCAGGTTGGACTTGACTCCAAGTTTCTTGGTTCCAGAGTAGGGACATTACCACTGCATCACAACAGCCAACGTAGAGATAGATAGATTCTTGACTAACAACTAATCAATGGTGATCAGAGGCAGGTGTGACAATAAAATCAGCTATGCTGTTATTGAATAGCAAAGTGAGTGAGGGGCAACAAATGGCTTACTCAGGATCTTAAATTAAGTCTGATGCATTTTCCCACTAACATTAGTCATGCCACAATTTTATGCAGCTGAAAGCATTGACAATATACAAATAATAACACTAGGAGATTCAGCTACAGCCACACAAAGTTGTAGGCTGGCACTTCTGTTCTAACCATTTTCCAATACTTTGTGTGTCTATTTCTACTGTCATTCTTGCAATTCAGAGAGAATCTTGTACTTTCAGATGTACTTGGACATAGCTAAATTTGCTAAGCTACTACATGCAGAATGTTAGATTAGTTATTTAGCTCAGTTGGATTGCAATACAGAGTAATACCTACAGCACAGATTCAATTCCCCACACTAACTGAGGTTACCATGACAATGTCAACTTCTCCCCTCACCAGAGGCAGAGTGACACTCAGGTGAAGTCACCACCAGTTTTCTCTCTCTACTGAGAGAGCAGGGCCATGACATTTTTACTTTGTGTGGAGAGGACAGTGGTGAAGGCAGTCATTACCTTTATCTATTCTACAAAAAGGCTTCTATTCATGAGGTACCTTTCATTACCACACTATATCATAACAAATTTGAGCCAATTAAAATTTTTTAGAAGAATGGCCATAGTTAGAAACACAGCAACCAACAGGCACACACCAAGCTGCTTCACAGTAACTTTAAAAGAACCCAGATTGTTTGACTTGGTGTTGTTTATGGAGGGATAAATATTGACCAGGACACCAGGCAGAACACTACCATGCTTCTTCAGAACTGGGAAACAAATTACTGCAGATGCTGAAATCTGTGCTGAAAATAACGAGCAAGTTGAGTCCAGATGAATCTTTACCAGCTCTGACAGAGTCATTTAGACTCGAATTATTTGTTTGCTCTCTCTCCCTGGATGCTGCCTTACCTACTGTAATTGTCATGGTTTTTTCTTTAGAATTGTATCAGACAAACTTCGGTATCCACTGGGGAGGCTAGAGGTATTTTAGTTCTCATCTCATCTGAAAGAGGGCACCTCCAAACATGCAGCACTGCCTCAGAATACAAGACAGTGTCAGCCTTGATTTTTGCACTTGGCTATTTGCAGAAAGTTCCGAAGCCATTAGACTCGAAACATTAGCTGTTCTCTCTCTCTCTCTGCGCCCCCCCACTCTGTGGATCTCTGGCACTTCCTCTTTTTATTTCTGGAGAGAGCCGGGACTGACGGCGTTGCCCACCTAGGCCACAGCTGTAAAAATAAACAGGAAAAAGATGTTGAGAAGTCGGGACACTTTAGAAGGGTGCGTAGTTAGGTCTGCACCATCCCTAAGAGGTCGCCTGCTTCAAACCTCGATATTCAACTAAACTGAGGCAGGATAGAAAATAAAACGAACTCAAGGATTCCCATTCAGGGCAGCACGTTCCTCCCGCGCCACCACATCCCCTCTCCAGGGGACTCTGGCGAGGTTCCGGCCTCGCTTCTCGTCTTTAGCCCATTTCTGATCCAATCGTAGCTCGGCGCCGGCCGTGCTCCCTCCTGATTGGCCGGGGCGGCGAGGGCGCGCGCTCACGGGCCGGCCATTGGCTGTTGCCAACGGGGGCGCGCGCCGCGTCACGTGATCGATTCAAAATGGCGCCGGTGTTGTTTTGATGAATAAGAGACTTTGTGCCAAAGGCAGGGGCCTCCCTTACAGAGGCCACGGGGCATTGGGGAAAATAAAAGAAAGGCATTTTTTTTTCCCCTTCTTCCTGATCAGCAGTAACGTTTATTTATGTTTATTAAAATAGTTTGAGATAAACTATGCACTTTTGTTAAAAAAAGTAAGGTTTTAACGAAAAGGAACAATATACTGAAAGAATGGAAGAACTTAGTGCTGATGAGGTGAGCAGAGACCTGGTGTTGTCCTGTTTCTCATCTGTGTTACATGCCGCTTGTTTTCTTTTAAAGAAGTGTACTTTTTTAATTATAAGAAAAAGAGCTAAACTCATTGCATGCCCTTTTGCTGGAAGCTCGTCAGCCTCATTGAAGTAGTCGACTTGTGTAGGCCATTCTTGCCTATTTCCTGGCTTAAAGATTTATTAGAATCTCTTATTTATCAATGTTGCTTTATAGCTTTCTATTCAGTAATTTGTGCGATAGCTTGCTTATAAGCACGGTATTTGCGAAAGTGCGTGCTCCTCCAAAGTGGATAAAATGCGGTTTTTCAACGTATAAAACTGATTTCGATTTCTATATATATGTAATTTTTATTAGAAAAATATGATTCTAAGAAACACTTTCTGGAGCCAGCATTTTGTACCCTCTTCAAAATAATTTATTCATTTCCTGCAGTACATTTTTAAAGCTAATGGCACTTTTTGGCTTTTACCCTGGAGCTGTAGGCCTCTTATTTCAGTGAGTGTGGGTAGAAAAGGAAACGAGCACAAAAGAGACTTTTATCAATTAGGAATTGGTTAGTGCAAACATATATATGATTTTTCTCACTTTTGTAAGTGATTCATAATGCTCTCTATTAAAATTGTCATAAATGAACAGAATGTTATTGTACAATTATCAGTTACTTGTGCCAATTTTGATATTGTGGAGCACATTATTGTTAGTGAATATCAACTAGCTTTATTTGACAAATTATAGCTTGGTGTTGTGAATGCTTAGGTTTTTATTTTTGAAATATGAAGAAAGTGAAAGTCTATATGTATAACGGCATGTAATAATTACCATATTTGACCACAGTACTGGTTTATCTGCTTGATAATACCTGCAGTTTTAACTGCATGGGTACTTTATTTTGTTTTGTTTAACTATTTTTAAGAAATAATGTTAGTTTAAACTAACATAACTTTTTTTTGAAGTATACATCTTGCATCAATTTTTTTTTTCTAACCTGTGGTGAATCTTCCAAGAACAGTTCTGAAATCTCTGACTTTGAATAAAATTGAACTGACTGAGGAGAAGGATGCCAATTCAAGCTAGCAGTTACAGCAGATATTGCAGTAGGATCAGTATAGTGTTGTTGTGAAAATTTTGCATGATTTTGACCAACAAATATTTGAATTACAATAGCATTCCATCCTTTACCTGTACGGAATGATGTAATTATAATTTTCCTCTGAACATTACTATCTGATTTTCTGCTTAGCTTATGACAATGGTTGTGAATGCTTCTAACTGAAAAAGTTTGAATCATCGCCATCTATTAGAAAAATGATTGATTCCAAAGATATGTATTTTTCATCTAGGACAATAGGTTAAACTCTGTTTTAGATCCCATTCATCTATGCCAAAATCTTGTTTCTAAAAATCGCTTGTAAATTTGTAATTGGTTATACTTGGAATGCCAATTGGCTGACCTGCTATTGTACCACCTTCAGTTTATCGCAGTCCTGTTTAGCTTTATTCGACACTGTGTAATGCATCAAATTTACTGAGGAAAAGTATCATCATGCTGATCTCAGGTAAAATTATTGCAAAATCAGTACGTTTTTGCATTGATTGTGAAAGGTGCGGATCTCTCAGATTTACTGGTTGTTCTATTTACTTACCACTTTTGAGGTAAATATTACTTTGTCTTTTCCAGCTCTTCTGTCAGCCTCCCTTTCCCCACCAGTCACTTGCAATATGAATTATTTACTTGCTTTATTCTTTAGCAAATGTTCAGAATTTGCTTTAACATTCAAGTTTTTTTTTCCCCTTCCTTTTTAAATTGTCCCTCCATCCCATCCTGTCCTGGTTGTGTTGTCCACACTGAGTTTATATTTTTTGCTGTTGATGCTCGGGGAAGCTTTTGCTAATATTCAGCTTTCATTGAGCAGGAAATTACCTTTCATAAGCCCAGTTGACTGAACTGATTTGTGGCACTCATCTCGGCACGATTACTTCAGAAATGTTAGTGTGTAAACAAGAAAAATGTTTTTCTTTTTTGTTGCACTTCAGTTATTTGTAAATGTTCTGCTTGGATGGCACTGCTGCAGTTGATTATACCATTATTCTATAGGAAAAGTGAGAAGTGCAACTTCCATGGTTGTTCTTCTGGTGCAGTGGTGATGCCCCTATCTCTGAGCTAGGAGGCCTGGGTTTAAGACCCACCTGCTCTAGAAATATGTAATAACATCTCTGAATAGGTTGATTAGGAAAACATTTTTAAAAATGCAAATTCCATCTT